GGTCCAATACTGAGAGTGAATCTTCACTGCTACTCATCACTCCTCAGAAAAATATATTAAACAAAATGCAGAGTCACGTAGTTTAAGCCACTGTCTGTTTGTTCATAAAGGAAAATGCTTTATATGCAGAAATTTCAAGTGAGAGGAGATGTCAGGTCTCCAAAAGCAGCTATTATCAAACAAAGCAGCCAGAAAATTAATGCACTGCAGATGGCTGTGACCGCAACCTTGGATATGAGCCAGCGTCTTCATCTCTCTTGGTAGGAGAGTGTTTTTGAACTGCTTCTTGTACCCACAAAGCTTCCCTAAATGTTCTAGTTCTCTGACATAAAATTCTTTCCCCTTTGTTACAGAGTATTGCTCTGTCTAGTTATTCTTTCCATAAACCCTTGCTGACCCCCTACTAAGAATGAGGCACTGAGAAAGAATGGTATACACCAGTAGTCAGGACATTTTTGTTAAACCTAAGAAGGAATGGACCATTTAAAGAACAAATCAGTTTGATTCTTCTCCTCCAAATCAAGGACCCACTTCCAGACAGCCTGTCTGTGCCTTCTTGCCATATCCATTTTAAAGTGGCTCTTTAGGGGCGCCCGGGTGGTTCAGTCAGTTAAGCGTCTGCCTTCAGCTCAGGTCATGATCCCGGGGTCCTGGGATCGAGTCCTGCATCGGGCTCCTTGCTCAGTGGGGAGCCTGCTTCTCCCTCTGCCTGCCGCTCCCCCTGCTTGTGCTCTCACTCTCTCTCTCTCTCTGACAAATAAATAAATAAAATCTTAAAAATAAATAAATAAATAAAGTGGCTCTTTATCCCTGGCAGCTAAAAGAGGGAATCTCTACTTCAGTAAGATGGCCCCATCATCGCTTTCTATCCCTGGCCACAGGAGTTGAGCCATTCTGGACAGGTGTGTGTGTGTGTGTGTGCATGTGTGTTCTCCCAAACAAGGACACTCATCTGATTTCCAAATGATTGAAGAATTTGGTGTTTTAAATAATACCGTATTCTGGTTGAGAATTGCCACTTACATAAATCACTGAGTTGCAAACAAATAGGGCAAAAGACTCTCAAGGTAGCGACTTCTTTCGCATTAAGAAAATGCACCCCCAAGAGTTTAATAACAAAATAATACACCTTTTTTCACACAGTTATTTTGTTTACGTGTTATCATGACTAATAGTAATGGCTGTAATTCATCACATTAGAAAAGTGATCAACAGTTCTAGCTGTACAGAATTAAAATTGATTGAGGCCCTTTGTCACCCTGGCAGAAGCTAATAATTACATCATTATTAAAATGTAGCCAATAGCCAAAACTTTTTAACTTCTTTGGTTTAAGACAAAATAGAATGAAATCAAGTTAATGTACTCAATTTGAATAATTCTGTGGAGAAGGCTACTCCCATGTTTATCTACCATTGGCAGAACAGCCCCTCTGGACTAAAGTGCTTTGCATATTTGATTAATTTTATCCTCCCCACATCCATGGAGGCATGCTGGTGCCCACATCATAGAAGAGATGGGAAACTGTGGGGATGAAGTAACCATCCCAGGGGCACAGAGCCAGGACCAAGACTCAAATCCAGGTCTGTCTCACTCCAAAGCTTCCATTCTAATCAGTGAGCAACTACACTGTCAAACAAAGACCTTCTAGATGAGTACGGGAAATACCTTTCACAGATACATGTTCAAACACTTGGAGAACAAAACATTCATCTTAGAAACCATTTCTTAACTTTTTTGATCAAGACTTTTCTGAAGGCGAAACAAAACTGGTGTGTATCCAGAGGATGTTCCTTCCGGAGCCATAGTTCTCCCATCCGTTCCTGGCCCACAGAATGTTACCAGCAACAGGCCAGAGGCAGAGAGGAATAAAGGAAATGAAGAGTCATTAACCACACGAAGTGTTCTTAAGACAGGCTCTGGTGTCATTTATCTCCACCTTCCAAGAATACTGGGAAGGCCTAGCATGGACAAGTGACAAATACTGTCAATTAAGTCTGTGAGGATAATGGCAAATGTCACTGAGAAAGATTTGAGTTAAACATTACATTAACTCAAGCTCATGTTCCCCTCCTTGCAAGGATGGTCAGTGTGAGGTGATATGAGTGTAGGACAGTCAGGTCCATGGTGGGATGGAGCTGAACTCTGTCCTGAGTATTGCACAAATTAGATTACAGAGCCTCAAAGGAAGTTCTTCCAGACGTTTAACAAGACTCAAGCAAGCAGTAGCTCCCAACTCTGGACTGAACCTGTGTTCTTGGCTAGCTTGACCTCTGAAGGGTGGTCAGAAGCAGTGTGCAGGACACTCCGTGTTACATAGTTCTGAGGGAGGGATTAGAAAGAAACTTCACTCTTTCTCCCAGGGTGCCCTTGTGGTATCTACCCTTTCACAAAAGAAGCAATCTTAAACTAAGTTATACAAAGTAGTTATTTGATTCGTGTTTCCTCTCCTTCCTCATCTCCCTGATTTTTCCTTTAGGGCATCACATGATTGCCAGGAGAGGAAGACACTCCCACTCCCCCCAAAACTGCACCATGGTAGCAAGTGGCCAGTTTCATCTCCCTTAAATAAGGTCCTACCTACATCAGGGGGGATAAGTTAGCACGATTAGAGGCCAAGTGTTCCTTTTACTCACTTCGTTCCCTCCTCCACCTAACCCATGTCCCTACGGAAGCTGTATGGGTTGTCCAAATTTCAGTGATGGAACAACCATGGGCTTACGTTTTCATGTCTTCTCTCCTCTTGTACCTAACTCTTGTATTTGTCACTAAAAGAAAAGTTTGTATCTGCTTATTATTTGTATTCCACCCTTATGACTATCCTACTACTAAAAATATATAATGATTTTTATGGAACAATTGGAAATCGGAACACTGATTCTATATAATATTAAAGAAATATTAAATTTCTATTTAGGAGTAGGAATGATATTGTGATAATTAATATTAGGTTTTTAAAGAATGTGTAGCTTTTATATCTACATAAGAAACTATGTACAGATTGGATAATATGATGTCTGGGATTTGTTTCAAAATAACATGGGAGAGATTGTAGCAGGTGGGGATATGGGTGAAACAAGATTATCCTTGAGTTCATTATTGTTGAAGCTGGGTAATGGGTTCATTGTGCTAGGTTTGTTTTGGTTTTTCAGTGGTTTTTTCCTGCATATGTTAGAACTTTTTGATACCAAAAAGCTTCTTTTAAAAAAGAATCAAAGGGCACCTGGGTGGCTCAGTCGATTAAGCGGCTGCCTTTGGCTCAGATCATGATCCCAGGGTCCTGGGATCCAGCATCCTCTGTCATCGGGTTCCCTGCTCAGCGGGGAGCCTGCTTCTCCCTCTGTCTGCTGCTTCCCCTGCTTGTGCTTGCTCTCCCACCCGTGTCAAATAAATAAATAAAATCTTAAAAAAATAAATATATATAAAAAAGAATCAAAATTAAAGTTAAAAAATAAAAAATATATAATTGGTGAGTTACTTTAAATTCACACTAGAAAATCATATTTTCTAAAAATACCTTAAAATATGTGCAATTTTCTCTTAACTATAGAGGGTTGATGGAAGGAGGTGGATGGACTAGATAGGTAATGGCCATTAAGGAGGGCACTTGTTATGATGAGCACTGGGTGTTGTATGTAAGTGATGAATCAATGAATTCTACTCCTGAAACCAATATTACACTGTATGTTAGCTAACTAGAATTTAAATTACAATTTAAAACAAAATTAAATTAAATCTATGCAACTTTCATGATTGAATGTTAAATGGAATAGGAAGATCTAAATCTGCACAAAGAATACTGCATATACATATATATTTACATATGCATGTAAATGGAAGAAGAAACTACATAAAATGTAAATTAGAATTTCCCCTGGCTGGCAAGAATATATATTAGTATTCTTTATTCATTGTTACTTTTTTCTATTTTTCAAATTTTCTGAAAAGAAAATATGTTTACAATTTTATGAAGGTATTTTTATAAACTATACTCATGATAAAATGTTAGGAGACAAATAGTTATAAACTGTATATGAAATTCAATTATAAAATGTATATGAATGCTGTGTATGTGTGTTTATCTAAAATAAATAGCATCACATTGTTAATGGTGATGATCTCTGGATGGTAGCATCATTGGTCATTTCTATTTTTGTGTGACTCTGTATTTTCTTCAATTAATAAGTGTAATGTTGTAATCAGAAAAAAATACAGCATGAAGGGGCACTTGGGTGGCTCAGTCCGTTAAACGTCTGCCTTTGGCTCAGGTCATCATCTCAAGGTCCTGGGATCGAGCCCTACATCGGGTCCCTCTCCCTCTGCCTCTCCCCAAGCTTGTGCTCTCTCTCACTATCTCTATCACTATCTGTCTCTCTCTTTCAAATAAATAAATAAAATCTTTAAAAAATACAGCATGAAAAATTAAAACTAGATTTATTATACTTTTTTTTTAAAGATTTATTTATTTACTTTAGAGAGAGACAGGGTGCATGAGCAGGGGTGAGGGGCAACGGGAGAGGGAGAGAGAGAGGGAAAGAAGCAAACTCCCTATTGAGGGTGGAGCCGGACAGGGGGCTTAATCTCACAACCCTGAGATCATGACCTGAGCTGAAACCAAGATTTGGACGCTTAACCAACTGAGCCACCCAGGTGCCCCCTGTAATTCTTTATAAGTAAAGGACTATCTCTATAGGGCAATATAACATACAAGGATAAGAAACGATGTATTATATATAGCTAATATATATTATATTCATATGCATATTACAACTATATATAACTAATACGTCACTATGTATAGCTATATAACTATATATTAAATTTATACAATAACCACATAATATCTGTCAGTCCAAGAGAATTTTAAATTCTCACTGTGAGTATATATTGAGCTTTTAAACAATGTTGATATAGAACTCTTTGCACAGCCACCATTACTTAGCAATGCTCCTCATGTAGACAATTCCTTGACAGTCATGTGTCATTTTCTGTCCAACTCCAGGTATATCTATGCCAATACCAGTCTTCGGCCTACAGGATGATTCCAAGGTCTTTAAGGAAGGGAGTTGCTTACTTGCGGACGATAACTTTGTCCTGATAGGCTCTTTCGTGTCATTCTTCATTCCCTTAACCATCATGGTGATCACCTACTTTCTAACTATCAAGTCACTCCAGAAAGAAGCTACTTTGTGTGTGAGTGATCTTGGCACACGGGCCAAACTGTCGTCTTTCAGCTTCCTCCCTCAGAGTTCCCTGTCTTCGGAAAAGCTCTTCCAACGATCGATCCACAGGGAGCCAGGGTCCTATGGCAGGAGGACTATGCAGTCCATCAGCAACGAGCAAAAAGCTTGCAAGGTGCTGGGCATTGTCTTCTTTCTGTTCGTGGTGATGTGGTGCCCATTCTTCATCACGAACATAATGGCTGTCATCTGCAAAGAGTCCTGCAATGAGGATATCATCGGAGCCCTGCTCAACGTGTTCGTTTGGATCGGTTACCTCTCCTCAGCAGTCAACCCACTGGTATACACACTGTTCAACAAGACCTACAGGTCAGCCTTTTCCCGGTATATTCAGTGTCAGTACAAGGAAAATAAAAAACCACTGCAGTTAATTTTAGTGAACACTATACCAGCCTTGGCCTACAAATCTAGTCAACTCCAAATGGGACAAAAGAAGAATTCAAAGAAAGATGCCAAGAGCACAGATAATGACTACAGTATGGTTGCTCTAGGAAAACAACATTCAGAAGATGCTCCCACAGACAATATTAACACAGTGAATGAAAAGGTTAGCTGTGTGTGATAGACTAGTTGCCATAGCAACCACAGGGGGCACACTTGGCAAATTTTCACCTATTCTGGGGAAAGAAAAGAAAACAGGGAGACTGGAAAAAAAATTAGGCCAGTCTAGCAGAACCAACAATAATATTTATATGCCTCATTTTATTCCGTCAATGAAAAAAAAAAAAGCAGGGTTAAATGATACAAAATGTGCACTTCAAAAATGTTCTGACAGCATTTCAGCTGTGAGCTTTATGATATTTTTAACATTGTAAATGATATGTCTTTAAAATAATTAGCTTTTATCGTATAATTATAATGAGGCCATAAATAAGTCTAAATTACCTTCTATTTCAAGTGGAAACGTTGCTACTCTGTTAATTGATGGCATGAGTTGGTTACCTGTTGCTGTAAATAACAATAGCTATAAATAGTGAAAATTGGTTGAATATAATATAATGACCTCTTAAAGAAAGATCTTCTTTAAAACTTACTATGCTACATATTTTGAACAACAAAAAAAGACACTAAGGACAGTGTTATGAAATCTGTATTGCTAAGATAATTAAATGAAATACTTGATGACTTTTTCATTCCTGCTTTTTCATAGATGTCATTTGGAAATATTCACAAAGTTGCTGGCATTTGCTGCATTTCAAGCTAATTCTTCTCAGAAGTGAAAAAGTTTTAAAATGTTATTTAAGAACTACTGCTGCTTTCTCTTCTACTCTTTGTGCTTTATTCTGAATCTCCAATGTGGTCTTGTTTAGTGTTTGTTCTACTAGGTAAACTATCAAAAGGATAAATTTAACATTACCAAATACGTTTCTAGAAATTGCTTCTCCTCAACAGCACCATAGCAGTGTTTGGTAACTCGCTCTTTGATGACTGCACCGTGCATGCACGCCTTTGAGCAGTAAGCAGTATTGATGTAACTGGGTCAAGATTGAGGAATAAACTCGGGTTTTTGGCTACTGACAGCAGAAGCTTAGGACGTCTCTGAAAAATGCAGGTGGCTTTCCTATTGGCACCCATTAGGTAAACTGATGCTTTCAGATCAGTCTATATTCTTTACTAAAACTGTTCAGCTTTGGTCTCATGATCATCTACTGGGTGTATACTATCTGTGAAGAAACGTCCTAGGTACTAAAGATATAAAAATAATTAAAACAAGATCCCTGCCTTTAAAGAAAATGACCTAATTGGAATGGTCCTCGTCAAAAATACCAATTAACAGGCATTTTGAGAATTGGTTCAAGCTGTTTTCTTCTTACCTGGGTCAGAAAAAGGCTTGTTTTTTTGTTTGTTTGTTAAGATTTTATTTATTTATTTGACAGAGAGAGAGACAGCAAGAGCAGGAACACAAGCAGGGGGAGTGGGAGAGGGAGAAGCAGGCTTCCCGCTGAGCAGGGAGCCCGATGTGGGACTCGATCCCAGGACCCTGGGATCATGACCTGAGCTGAAGGCAGACGCTTAACAACTGAGCCACCCAGGCGCCCGAAAAAGGCTTGTTTTGACTCTGAGGGTAGTTTTCTCAATAAGTTTCCCAATTGGTTGCCAAGGAATACCCACCAAATGAGCAAGGGGGGAATACTACAGGAGGTCAAAATTTGAAAGTAGTTTAGAAATTCACACCTCGACATGGACCCAACCTATCACAATTTATCACTAAAGTTTCAAGAAAATTTTGTTTTACTTCCCCAAAAATCTAATTTATTTGTTATTCACTGACACTGGACTCCCTAATAAAAAAGAGCAGTAATAGAGTGTTTTGTAGAAAAGTTTGCTAAAGAGAGAAAGAGATTAACAGCAGTTAATTCACCTTGATATTACTCTAGATTAAATTATACATCCTTACTAAAATAGATGTTAGATGATATGTGGTTACAATACTGAAGTATTTCTATTAAATGAAAAATAGTTTTTTGCTCTAAGCCATTTGAGAAAATAGTATAGATTTGAAAACTAAAGGATGTGGGAGATGCCACTGTGGAATTTGGAAACGCTTTAAGGCTATCCAATTATATCCTTATAGATACACTGAAAGGTATGTTTTTCAAAGCTAGAATTTACAGTAAACCACTTATATCAACGCTGTGTTTGACCTGAACCACTTTAATAATACCATACTAACTTATAAAAATACAAATGTTAAAAAATCTCTGCTCTAATGTATTTTGCCATATCTTATAACTCTGCACATCTCATAAAATATTAGAGAAAAGATTAGATTCTACCCCCATATACTCAATCCTGATCAGGATGAACATAAATACTGCCTGACAGATGTCTTTTGACTACATATATATTACAAATGTGTATGTTTTTTCTTTCCGTAAGTATCTACTCAAATGTACATAGACAAACATGTATCTGTGTATATGTACAGACATGTTCTCATGCACTTTATTCGATATTTATATATTTATATGGAGAAAAAGCAAGAGTCACTAATGAAAACACTCAGTATATACACATGTTTGCATGTTTGTATCCTGTCAATTAAAATGTGAATTCATGTTCTAAAGTTTCTAAGACCTTCCATTGCTGTCAAAGCAGATTAAAATGTAACAGAAGTATCAGCTCTTTAAATAAACTGGAAGTTCGCCTAATTTTGTGGGAAGACTAACACAATTCTACGAGGGTGGTGAAAACAATGGTCCTTTATATAGCTGAGTGATCTTAAATAAAATGGTACCTTTGGACCCTTTTTCAGTCTGGGGAGTTTCTGACTACTAAGGCTTTTAAAACATCCCCACCCCGCCCCAGTGAGACACAGTGCTTGAATGATTTATCGATCTGTGATTAAAAGACTCACTTCTAATCAATATTTTAAGTTGAACAGTGGATTCTTCTATATTTAAAGAAAGGAATTAAATGCCATATAGTTAGGGGAAACACTCAGTTTAGACATATTTAATCTACTTGGCCACAGCGCCATCTCATGGTCATTTTTTAAAGTGCTACCGTAGCCAAATTGAACTAAGTTACTGTAGTGCTTTTGGCAAAGGGTGCTTCTCCCATTTGTGCATCAACGAAACATATTTATAAAGTGTTAAATCATTCTGTGCAATATATAATAAATACAGTGAAGGTTATTTTGTGTAGTGATTTTAATCAAGGTGATTCTAAAAGATTTCAAGAAAGAATGAATAATTATAAATAAAGTATACTCAAAAATCAATGTAATTTTGTGAGTCCATAGTTTTGTCTACTAAAGGGAATTACCCAAACCTTCCAGTCATCAAACTAGGAACTCTATGGATCATCCAGATATTTTGAGAGCACAAAGTCTGTGCTTCTGAGGTCCAGTGACTGAACCAGGATCTACGTGGTAGAGTTAGATTTATGATTGGGATCCAGGTTGCAGTTATCTGCAGCAGACAGATGCTCCACGTTCAGTCACTGTATCTGGTTCGGCACAGCCTAGAAACATAGAGAACCACTGCTGTAGCCCCAGGGCATGCTGGGTACTGATGGGTATGTGTATACAGGTGTACCCCCAAGACATGCACAGGAGCTCATTTCAGGAATTGAAGTAAACCCAGAAAACATGGTATCATTGAATAAACTGGAAAGTTGCCCTGGCTCTTCTTTTTTTTTTTTTTTTTAAAGATTTTATTTATTTATTTGACATGGGGGCGGGGAGGGGGGAGAGAAAGAGAGAGAGAGAGCACAAGCAGGGGGAGTGGCAGCCGGAGGGAGAGGGAGAAGCAGGCTTCCTGCTGAGCAAGGAGCCCCATGCGGGACTTGATCCCAGGACCCTGGGATCATGACCTGAGCTGAAGGCAGATGTTTAACCGACTGAGCCACCCAGGCTCCCTGCCCTGGCTCTTCATTTCACCTCTAAATGTAGGAAAAGTTTATGAAATAGGGACAGTAGGTATCTTTTCCAGGCGTTTATAGCTCCGTGTATTGAGTACCTACCATGTGCCAGGAATTAAGCTGGCTGCTTTGCTTGCTTTACCTAATGGAATCTTCACAACAATCCTATAAGGTAGGTATTGCTATGTCTTATTTTTCATACATAAAGAAACTGAGATTCAGAACAGTTAGTAATATGTCCAAGGTCACACAGCTGAAAAAAAAAAAAAGTGGCAAGTTCAAGGCTGGGTCATCTGACTCTGAAGCATAAATTCTTGTCCCTGCCCAATGTGGCATGGGGAAAAAAAACACAGAATTCAGAACCAAAAGATGCAAGTTCCCATCTCAGCTTCCCTACACCCTGGTTATATAACCTTGAACAAATCACTTAATAACCCCGGGCCTCAATTTCACTGTCTCTAAAAATGGTACCACTAGTACCTGTCCTGGCTAACTGACAGCGTCACCTAAATGAGGTCATGGGCATTAGGAGGACACATGCTATGATGAGCACTGGGTGTTATACGTAACTAATGAATCACTGAACACTACATCAAAAACTAATGATGTACTATACAGTGGCTAACTGAACATAATAAAAAAATAAATTTAAAAAGGTGAAAAAAAATGGGGTCATGACTATGGCTGTGCTTGATAACCTGTAAAGCACTATGTAAATGTAATAACTGTGTTGTTGTTGAAAGAAAAAACCCAGAGCCAGTATACATTATTAGCCATCAGAGCAAATTCCAGACAAAATTGTGGGACAGTCAATATTATTATTCAACAGTTTCTACTATCCTTTCTGTGAACATTCTCATTTTTAAAGACATTTTACTTCAGCTTTGTCCACACCATGATGCAGAGTTCCCTTCGCTGGTATTTTTTCCTGCTTACATCAAAACTTACCCATTCTGTGACCTATCCTGTCAGGTTTCTCCTCTCTGCTAGAGCACTAATAATTCCAAGTTGACAAACTACTGTCTATCACTGAGGTCCCTTTAGCTGTTCACCATGATCATAATCCAAAAGTTAAAAACTTTAATGCCAGGAAGACCAGTGAGAAAGAAATTTAGGGACAAGAAATATAATATTAGTAGGCTTATCTCAAGTTTTATACTCAATGGACATCTGCCCCAGTAAATATGCAATACGACAAAACTTTGTTAATTTTTATTATTTTTGCAGGTGGTTTGCAAAAAAAAAAAAATGGTTTCCTTATTTTCCCTTAATGCTATACACCCCAGTCTTCTTCTTGTTTGATATTTAACGACAGTATGTCCACCTGAGTCAACACATTATGGCAAGTTTTCACACCCAACTGGAGCCTCAGGATTTGGTGTGACCTCACTACCACAGAAGACTGAGGCAGGACACCTAGGTCCAGTCTGCTACTACCGTCTGACCCTGGACAAGTCAAAGCCTTTTTTCTTCAAAATGTCTCTTCTGGGTCTATGCTTATCTCGATGCTAGGGAGTCCAGTCAAGTGTCTGATGAACCAAGACACGGCTTCATGAACAAAGAATATTTTGGAACAATTCTCACATTTTCTTAAACTCTTCAGATGCATTGCAAATAAATGACAGCTATAATTTTTATATGGAAATCTTAGAAGAAAAATCAAATTGTTATGGATCCAAGGAGTTTCTAATATAGGAGACCAAGCATCAGATATCAACACAAATGATTCCTACTTTTGCATTTTTCTCGCCATCAGCCTCATTTTTGCACATTTTCTAGCTGGTACAAGATATCAGGTTGTTCTTTTTAACAGCCCCAGGTTCCCTAAAGAACAAGTGCTCTCACTATTCAAGTTCAATTTCCTTGAAGGGTTAAAATTTAAAAGCTCAAAAAGATTGAGATATCATGGTACAGCAAGGATCTCCTTTATTTAAAGCTAGATTTTTGTTGAAGTGAGCAAAGGTCATTTAAGTTTTTATTTATAGTTAAGATTACAACATCTTTAAAGGTGTTTATTCTGGCTTCTAGAGAACAGCACAAAATGTACATCCTACATTTATTTCAGATATTGAAAGGTAGTAATATGCCATTATTCAGATGATCTTGTCTTAGTTGGGGTGACCCCAAGTACAGAGCCAAGACAAGAACTTGAGTGCAGATCATTTAT